ACTAGTACTAGTACTAGTCCTAGTCCTAGTCCTAGTCCTAGTCCTAGTCCTAGTCCTAGTCCTAGTCCTTACTCCTGCCGCTACTTCTACTGCTACTGCCACTGCTCCTCTTCCTCCTCTCCTGCCGCTGCCGCTGCTGCTGATGCTCCTGCTCCTGCTACTCCAATGCTAGTTTAACAATGCTACAATCACCACAACGGCGCGAGTCGACAACGACTACCAAGAAGACCACCAGGAGCGGCAACAAGACCAACATGACTACAACCACCTCTTGCAGCTCCAACTGTGACAATCATTGACACCGCGATCCGCCGATCACCAAGGTTCTCATACTATTATCATCATTATGTTTTTTTTCTGCGAATTCGCTGCCATCATCCAAACACACAGTGTCACTAATTGCCAGGAGCTAACGAACAGATTTACCAGGGCCTGCCTGGGCCATCCACGTGTCAATGGCGTGATGCATGTGCGGCCTGCGCACGGATTTGCCCCGTTTGAAGGCTGGAGCGGCCTAGACTCGGGTAGACCCGGCTCTCAGAGTAGTAGTGGTAGTACTAGTGGTAGTAGTGATAGTAGTAGCAGCAGCAGTAGAAGCAAACGATATCAACTGGACCGCGTGCCTCATCAGAGTCTTCAAGCTCTCCTGCACCGGCAATGCTCAGCTAGGCTTAGCTTCATCCGCCAGACTGGCGAGCTGGTTTCGCCTCCGTGCCCATCTTCATGTGCTTCTTGGAATCCGCCATGTTAGCGAACCTGCCCCAAGCACCCCAAGTAGCACTGCAAAGGGTTGCAAGTTGTTGCAAGTCACAATCTGCTGGTTGCGAACATCCAGAGGCTTTTTGTAGGCTCGGCTTCTCCACTCCACTCGGTGCCTTTGGCTGTTGCAGTTCTACAAGGAGTCCCAGTCTCGCTGCCCTTCCCTTGAGCCAGAAGCCGACCAGACCGGCCAAGCTATCCTAACCAGAGTAGGGACAGCAATAGTTATACCATATACGATATCATAGCATGGCGTCTCGTATTTATAGTATTTTATAATATGATATAGCAAGACATTTTTTGTTGGAACATACCGTATATGATTGGTATATTATATTATATTATATTATATTATATTATATTATATTATATTATATTATATTGTATTATATTAAATTATATTAAATTATATTATATATAAAGTATAGTGTGTAGTATGAAATATGTAAACTACATCATATGATATAAAATATATGCTACAGTAAAATACATCATACATAACATAAAATACAGCTTTACATAGTAGTAATAAGGATGAAAAAATATTAATAATAACAATAATTAATCATAATAATAGAAACAATAGAAATAAATAGAAAAAAAGTAAGACAATAACAATAATGATAATAGTACTAAGAATAATACTAATAAGAATACAGAGAATAATTTATGATGATAATCATGATGGTGATCATCAAACACTCCTACCAGACATTCGGGAGTCATGCCGCATCCTGCTAGTGTTTCGCTGTGCGGCTATTGCCAGTCTCATGACGTTGCGAACAACAGGTTGCCCTACGCTCACTGTTCTGACTACCACAATATCAGTTGAGCAGTCCATGTACTGCAGCGCATTGCTTCGACTGCTTAAACGTGGTGTTGTGGCTCGCGTGATTTGCATGACCGATGAGTCATGCCTTGGTGGTGACAGTTCCAGATTCCTTAGGGACCTAGGTGCTTTGGATATCTATCTGGACAAGATGTTACAGCTGGGAGGTCAGAATCCATGCAAAGGCGTTAGCGTCTGCACTGTCTTCTCGTTGTTCTCGCGGTCACCATGTTGCCGAAGCGTCTTCACTGGCATAGTATGTATGCAGGAAACGAAGTTCAATTCGCTGTGGAGGAACCCTCTGTGATCAGCTCGTGAAGAATAAGCTCGGTGGATCTTGTAAATTCGGGTCTTCTTGACATGGAGCGAGTCGCTTCGGCCAGACGCTACGGTCGCTACGATCTGGTCACTCTTTGCTGCTTCATTTTGCGAAGCGCGGAAGCCTTGCAGTGCGAGCAGAGCAAGTTACGTTGAAGCAAGAGCAAATGGCACATGTTGCAGACAGCCCGTGCAGCTTCTACAAACTGCCATGCCTGCTCCACTTCCTCTGCTTGCGTCATCATTTCGGCGTGCTTCTTTAGCACATCCTCCCAGACAAGAGCAGATGACCAGGGGAATGCTCCCCCACTCCGACGCCTTGTCCACAACAGCAGAGACAGCAGTGCCCACAACACAGACCCTGCGCGCTAGGCCTTCATGGACTGCTCCACCAGGCCATTGAAGCCCTGAGGCGGTCAGACGATGCGGCTCTACAAAGTCTACTCTAGCGGACATCTGCAGAAGCAAGTGAGCAGGTGCCTTCCACAGCCTGCAGATCCAGTAAGTGAAACCAGACAGAGCGTGCTGAATCCAAAAGAAAAAGGAAGAACCATTATAAATGATAATCATGACCATGTGTCAAGCAACGTCTGGGAGTAATTTGATTCAACTGGAAACCCGGTGCCACATATCCTGTAACGTTAACTTTGCATGCAGGCCAATCCAAACCAAGAAGAAAAGTGAGAACTCAAGCCTTAGTGCTCAACGTTTAAAGTGTCCTTGTATTTGAGACAGTGATGGGTTAGGTGGTCCTAGAAGAAGTCTTCCTGTTGATCTGTCCAGCTGCCTGTTGATATTGAAGCGACAATACACAAGATCCCGGCCAGAAGAACAGCGCTCTGAGAGTTTCGATCAACAACTAACTAGCACACAGCCAGAAGACATCGACCAGCCACGGGGCACGTTGTTTCAGGACATCGAGTCCGGAAGAAGTTTTTCCAACTCTGTGCCGGGCAAAACTACCACAGCTCACAACAAGAACCCCAGGCCCACAAGACATCCCGAGACCTTGTAGGAACGTCGATGCAGCTGCAAGGGTGGTGGCCCTGTCCGGAGCTCGGCGGGTCGCTTCTCCTCCGAAGAACCAGGCTGTAGGATCTTACCTCTGCGCAACTGTGAGTTCAGCAGAGAGGTTGCATTAAAATCGGACCTCCTGAACAGACGACTGGGAGAAGAAGAAGGCTTTTCTTTGCACTTACACTAGCATGAAGTGAAGAACATGTGTGCTGCTTCACCTTACCATGACCCTCGATGGCGAGACCCTTCACGGATCTTCATGGCTATAGAGCATGTCCATGCTCGATATCACCTCAACTGTAGTGAGGCCCTCGTCCCTGATGCCACAGCAGTCACAAAAATTTCCTGTGCCGGCGTGCGGTTCTAGGCTGCCGAAGGCTGAACCGAATGTGCACCTTACGCTAGAAGAACAGTGGGACAGGCTCAACCTCAAGCCTGGACCCGACGAGTGTCAAGAGGAATTCCCAAACAAAACTGAAGACCTGGATGCGCAGCCAAATAGTTTGTTGAGATGGACAGGATGAGACAGGGCTACCCATATGTAGTTCAGACAGAACTATTGCAGCACACCTTGACCACTGAAATGCAAAGACAAAGCCAGCCATTATGATCGCCATCGCCATCACCAACTCAACACCATCATCTGTGTCAACACAATGAAGTGTGCAGGCGGCAGTTACCGATCATAACAACCGTGTTCGGTTTTCTCTGCCATGGCTCCTACATGACATAGGTGCGTCCTGAGACGATTCGGCCGAGACTTCTGCCTCAAAGCCCTCCACGACCCACTGCATCTCCTGCTTCAGCAAAGTCCCGACTCACTGTTGAAGCTCGTGAGAGCCGATCTATCAGTCTGCGTCAGAGAAGTCTTTGCACTTCTGATGCAACAGACATGTGACTTACAGCCAAGTGGTCGTCCTCTATGTGCCGGAGCTGCTCCTTCTCCTGCCTTAGGCAAAGCTGTCCAACAAACACAAGCTGTACCGCTTTAAAAAGACAAGTTACATTGGGAAGCTACAGTGAGTGAGACCGACAAATCACCCGCGCCGCCGTTCAGCGCATTGTCAGCGCCGACCCCCGAAGCCCGAAACACTTAACCCCAGGAGCCTTAATGATTATAATAAGGTTTGGGGGCCCATTATACGAAAATAAAACTAGGGAACCCCCAAAACAGTATTGGTAATTTATTTCTGCCCCTATATTATGCTTTGCATTGAGGACATTGCCGGTGATCGTCGTCTTAGAGATGTGTTGCGGCATAAGTCTCATGTGGCCCGACCCTGTGTGTTCTGACCCTCCCTGCCTCTTTTCGTTTCAGGGTCTGCGAGTTTGCTGTAAATTCGCATTTTTGGTGCCTACAATGGCATTACGCGGACCGCTTGGACCACAGATGCCTCACAGTCACAGTCACAGCCCCTATATTAGCTGCCCCTTTTCCGAGCCCCGAACTTCTTGCGCTCCTCGTTCTCCCGAGCTGATTGCATGAAGCGAAGCCCCTTGCAGATCCAGGCGAACCGTTTAGGGTTTAGGTTTTTTTTTCCCCGGTTTAGGGTTTAGGGATTCGAGTGAAGGCTTCAGACGAAAGGGAACTGGAAAATGCTAAGCCCAACAAGGCACAACCTACGCGTGGGGTATACGAACCTCAATGGGGAAATTCCCAAAACCTTATTCATCATTTATGTCAATGTGCATAGTCTTTCTGGCCCCCGAACAATGCACCGTTGATTGAACCAAACAGACGAACAAGCAAACCAGAAGTGAGTTGTGAAGCACTGCATGCATGCCTGCAACATTCCGGGCCGTGTGAAGAAACTTCAAATATAATGGAGCAACATGCGACATAGCAAACAGATCACCATGTCTAGGCTATCGTGCTTGCAGGGAAGCATGTGAGCACCGTGCACCATATGAAGAAAAACATGATACATAAATAAACAAATATACCTACACATACACACGCACACGGATACGCGAGAAATAAGAAAACCTGGTCAAGAAAGTTGAACACTTGTCGGTCTTATAGGAAAGATAGAGCATAGAACAGACGACCATGCACCGTGTGCCACATCCTGCTTGAACCGAAACAGAAATTCGAGGGAGATGATCTGCGCAGTGCCTGGATGTTCGAAGAGAGGTTGTGCTGTGCCTCGAGCCATGCCAGATCACATGTCAGGCTTTTGACAGGACGTGCTGTGCCAGGAGTGCATCGGACGACAAGCCTTTGTGGTCAAAGATTTCGGGCTGAGGGCTCCGAGAAGGCTTTTGAGTCAGTGGCTTGTCCCACGGTTTTGGCCCGACATTTGCCGAACTTAGCAACTCGTTGAATGAGCCCCGCGCGCTTCCTCGCATCAGTGATGTACCTGATAAATCCTACAATCCTCCAACAGTACACGTACATTACATTACCTTGTATACATCGGCAAGAGCAAAACCCTGGCCAAACCGTCCCGAAACCCCTCCGAATTTTTGCTTCACTCCTCGCCTCCACCGAGGGAGGGGGTGCGGCTGGCGCCGCCTTTGCCGTGGAGCCGGCAACTCCTTTGCAGCATGAGGAGTCGCTTTCAGGGATCTGGCATCGTCGGGCCACTTGTGAGCTCTGTGCGATGTTGTAGGCTCGGGAAAAGGTCGTGGCGGCAGGATAGCACCAGACCAGCACCTTACACCAATGCGGGCTGCCTTTCTCTTTGCGCCGCTTCCCGCGCCCGCGACCTTGGAAGTTGACAGGAGCGTTGTCGAATCGATAGCAGGAGGTGCATCTCACCAATCAACGCGCTATGCTTAAACCATGATTAGTTTTGTGTGCCCATCCGTCCGTCTAGCAGCACACATTCGTATGTATGCAAGTATGCACTTGTATGCATGCACACGTATACAAGACTGTACACGAACCCACCGATGCGTCATGCTCGAACTGCCGGTTCCAGCCCGCAGAGATGATGCTTGAAGTTGTTGGGCTGCATGCTCGGACGTGTGTAAGGCCCTGTCCTCGTCCTCGCGCTCGCGTGGAGATGTGGTCCTCTCAATGACGGTGTTCTGGAAACCTCAAACACTACCTACCGTAAGGGACACGTTTTTACGAGGACCTCCGCAAAAGGGATGACCACTATGCAATATAAATCGATAGTTGGAACCTCTGTACATGTTCCCCTTCACGAAGGGGGTCCCGAAAACCTGCACAAACCGGTTGGGTCCTCTCCGTCCATCGCAGCATCAGCTTCCGCCTGCAGCAGAACTGTGGCGAGGGATTCACGTACTATCACCTGATGAGAGTGTGTGTGTGTGTGTGTGCGTATGTATATGAATATATATATATATATATATGTATACACACACGAACACCCCTACTTTATACGTACACGTCAGTACCTCCTGCATGTACAGATGTATGTAATAAGGTGTGCACACAGCATATGTCCTGCTGACTAAGACTACGTATATTCACATGTTGACTTATTTGATGACCTGTCAAGAAGTTGGCACCGTACAATGTACTCCTAGCACGGTGCACCATACAGTGTCGCTGCGCAGTAGCACATGAACGATACATACGTACATGCCTGCATGCCTTGTAGCTGTTGAAAGATCGAAACTGGTTATGCAGTTATCGTTTCATATTGTACGCACCCGTATGTACTCCTTGTGCATACATGCATGCTATATAGGTTGTACATGCGTACGTTTGTATGTAGGTGCATCCCTAAAGACATGATTACATCAATCCATACACACATCCAGCCATCCAATTCATACATGCATACATACAGATAGACATGTATGCATGCAGGTTCGTTTGCACGTATCCATGCATGCAACTATAAGTATACATGTGTTTACGTGCACTTGTATGCATGTATGCATGATTGCATGCATGGATGACGGATTTATGGATGCATGGATGTGTGCATGAGCGTATGTATGCATGTACGTATGCAAGCACGCATACATACATGTACGTGTGTCTGCCTGTATGATAGCATGTATGTATGTATGTATGTAGGTATGCATGTAAGTACGTGTGTGCGTATGTGTGTATGTATGTATGTATGTATGTATGTATGTATGTACGTCGGTACGTAGGTACGTAGGTACGTATGTGTGTATGTATGTATGTATGTATGTATGTATGTATGTATGTATGTATGTATGTATGTAATGATATGCACGTTTACATGCATGCATGTCCCTCGCGATTGAACTTTAATACATGTGCCTGCATCATCAGGTAACTACCCTGTATGCGTGTATACAAACGTAATCCAGTCTACAATCTTGTGCAGTGTACATGCCACATCATTTCAGGCAGTTCAATCCAAGGAGTGACTATTTCGGATACGCGAAAACTGAACCTGGATGCAGCAGGAGCCATCTCCAACGAATCTTGTTCATGCAGCCAGGCCACCATGCTTCCCTCAGTGGCCAGCCGCCGAAGCTCCAAATCGTGGGCGGCGGGTTAAAGCCACGGCACTAGGACGTTTGTTCACCATGCTGCTGATGCTTCCGAGCAGAGTCTTGGTGCATACCATCATGCTCAAGCTGCAGACATGTTGGGAGGCCTCAAACAGCCTCCTTCGAGCTGAGATTTTAGTCATGCCTGGTCTAGAGCCACCTTGGGCGGTTGCATCTCTCATCTTGGGCCGACGGCAGTGGGCAGTCACCGAGCTGCGTGGCCGACGTCCAGCTTCACGCCCTGCACGAGCCAGTCGGGCTTTTGTCAACATCTGCCTCAAGCGATCCTGGCCCGGGAAGGTAAGCGGCGTGCACCTGCGGAAGACGACAGCACCCAGGATTTACAGGAAAATCCGCACACGCCTGGCGACATGCACATGATCAATCCAAAGGAGTATTTTGCTTGAGTCGGACAGCAAACTGAACCCTCCAAAGAGCCCCGCCGCAGCGCATCAAAGGGAATGGAAAGCCTCAGCGGATGGAATCACAGACGGGCTCTGAGATTGCCATGGTGCCATAAGGTGCCGAAGTCACAAGAGCCCCAATGCGGCTCCCGAACTGGCAGACCTCTTTATCCTCGAACGCCTTCAAACGCGCTCTCACAACATGGCTGTGCCGATGTCTCCGGAAATAGCAGGCATGCACCTGCGAGACTTCGACAGAGCATGCACATGCAAAGTCCCCAGGCTCAGTCCGTCTTGGAAGCAAGCTTGAGGCGCCGCTCGCGCTTTGGCAGAGGCTCGGGGATGTTTAGTGACACTACAATGACGGCCGAATTATCGGCTTTTGTGACATTGGCCGCAGCTTCCAGCACTGCTTTGGCAGCAGCTTCTGGGGATCGTGTCTCCCGCAGCACTTTGCGGGCTGTGATGATGGCGGTTTGATCGCGCAACCCGTCCCAAATACCATCAGTGGCAAGCAAGACGAATTCTGTGGTGTCTTTGACACTCACGACAAAGACTTCAGGTGCACAGATGACCCCGGGAACTTTCTTCCCGGTCTCACCCGCAACATCCCCAAAAGCGCGAGAAACTTGCACCTTTCCATCGACATATCCACCTTCGACGTTTACACCGATCTCCTCCAAACGCTGTTTTTCGAACTTGTTTTTCTCGGGGGCATGGTCCGTGGTCGTCGTTGTCACCTTGCCATCTTCACATACAACTGCTCGACAATCTCCTAGGTTCAACAGGACCAGCTCTTCTGCTTTCAGAAGAGCAACACAGGCCACCGTTCCGGACGATGTGCCGGATGCAAACCTTAGCGGCTGACTTCATAACCCCAAAACACATCAAACAAGTGTAAACCTTCAGCTCTATAGGGCATAATATGATCCCAAAGTGTAAAGTGTACTCATTCAGCTACTGAGAAACTGCTTGGCTTCCTCAGCCAGTTTGGTCTGCATCAGCTCGTCCACAGCCATGAATGCTTGTTTGGCAGCTTCCTCCTTGTTGCCGTTTTCTTGGAGGCAACGCTCGAGCTGTTCTGGAAGGTACTGTTTGGCCAGCAGGGTGGCCTTCTCGCCTCCGTGACCGTCGAAGACAGCGAAGCAGGCATTTTCTGCGACGTTGTCATGGATTAGCACGGCATCTTCCATACGCTGCCGGTCATTCTTCGCGAGTGCGTACCCATACTGACTGTTGCCACCCGAGGCGTAGTCCGGAAGCCAGGACGGATCTTTCTCCCTGGCTCCACAACATTGGCATATGTTGCCCATCGCTCAAACACGATTAAGCGGAATGTGCAGTTGCAGCTAAGAACCGATATGCACTCCGGCAAGTGCTCAGAAGATGTGAGTCCACGCTGTTCTGTCTGAGCATCGTAAAAGCCCAAGAGGCTGGACTAGATTAATCTGAATTGCGGCGGTTGAAACACTATCCAAGCCTCTGAACTTAACCTCATAGCACATGCAGAGACCTACGGCAGGTAGACAAGATTATGCAAGACAGTTTAATACAGCGCATATCCTCCGTTGAGGGTTTAGGGTTCCCTAAACCCAAACCAGACCGAGTCGGTGGCAACAGGTCTTTTCTGACGGATGGAGCAACCTAAACAAGCCTCGAACTTACAAGAAGGGAACACTTCGGATGATCAGACCGGGCGAGCGAAGTTGACCAAGCTGACCCTAACCAAAGCCTCAACTTGATGGGCCTTGCTCTGGGCACGCGGCGACCCGGCTCCCCGTGTGGCTGTACAAGAGAGGTTGTTCGCCTGCGGCAGGATTCGAAGGAGGCCAACCAGCACCTAAAAGACTCCGACAGCCCTGCAGTCTTCGATGTATTCGAAGGGGCAAGGTTCATAAGGCTTGTGTTCTTCGCCGGCCTCGCCACGTGCATGCCAGGCTGCAAGGTTTCGACAGTTGGGACTAAGGTGGCAAATCGAATTGCAAGAAGGCCAGCAGAAGAAGCAAGCAAACAAAGCCATAAACTGACCAGCGTGTACTAATACGGAAGCTTCCTGCACCAGCCGAAAGTGCATGCGAGCAACAAGGTCAGTAGCCTGATCGTCCTGTAGATCGCATCGCTGCAAGGCATCGGCCTGTCACGTAGCCGGCAAGGATCGCTACTTCGCTGTCTTGGCTATCTTGAGTACCATCATCTCAGATGTGTAATTTTCAATATTAGGGTCCCTTTCAGGGTCCTTTTTATAAGGGTGCCGTACTATATTGGGGGCCTAAAAGGGAGCCTAATTTAGAGAACTACCCATATCGTGCAAAGAGGCCTGAAGAAGCTGCCACAGCCTTTCCTTGGCCTTGGACCTTGGGGCTCACGGCCGCCAGTGATGACTACACATGCCGCGACTGCATGGGTGCGGCGCCCGTGGGCGAAGAAAGACTGCCTGTCCTCATCCAGCCTCGGGGATGACAAAAGGAAGCACTGGCTCCACCTTTTTATGGACTTATGGAGACCTACGCAGGTAGGTTCTTTAGGCACCCTCACATCAGCTCCCGATGAACGGAACTCCTGCCACAGTGCCAGGCTGAGTCTCGAGCTGCACGAGCCCGGCGTAGTCCCCCCCAGCTGTGACAAGCACACTGGGGCCGGAGGAGCCCTGGAGAAGGACGGTAGATAACAATTCTCGCACGGATTGCTGAACAATGGATATAGGAGATTGGTACGTTCTGGAGGAGCATGTGATCTTTTCATGTGACAGGAGCTGTGAAGTCTAGAGAATTTGCAAAGCTTGATTTGCTGGCAATGCGGGTTGCTAGAGGCCAACACCCAAGCATGCATCTGCGACTTCCTGCGTTGCTGCATCTACACCCTCCCCAAAGACTAGGTTCCGTGAAAACACTGAGGAGAGAGACGTTCAGACCGGATCGTTGAGCAAAGCGGCCGATTAAGCATTCGTTCGTGACACGGAGCCCGTTTTACTTGAGCCGCCCTGGAGTCCGTAAGCGGCTATATACCAGAGTCGCTCCCGAAAGTTTCGGGAGCGGCTCTGGTACGTCGACCCCTGCAGGTGTCAACAGGCGGGCGATGCATTGCATTTCTCTCCTGCTCGTCTCGAATGTACAACTTGGTGACAGTGAAGATCAAGGCAAGCTATCATCCAAGACGATGTGAAATACGACGGCATCTTGGCCTCTATGGCTATTTCGGCCTGTATGAGCTCTCGACTGCGGAATGAAAGCCAATCGCGCTTGGGCATCAGCTCCTTTCCTGTCTGTCCACCTTGTTGCCAACGTGGCCGCCACAGACGGCAAGGCACAAGGCACTTGTGTCCAGCTGCGTGTTCATGCATCACATGCAAAGGGGCCCGCTTGCCGCAGTAAATAGCCAGGAGAACGCTAGGGAACTGTTGAACAGATGGGAGACGTGAGTCTTACTCTGTCGTGATTCAGCAGACCGTGATGCCTCCGCTGTCATGCTGTCCTTCAAAATCCAGAGTTTCGTCAAATTTCAGTCACAGCCAGAATGTCAAGTTAATTAGATACCACTCGAGTTCTCATCACTAGCAGTCACTAGCAAAACGAAAACTCGAGAAACATAGTTTACTTAGAATCTGAAGGTTATCGTCTGGACCCGTGGATCGCATCGCAGTCTTCAGAAACAAGAAGCATCAGCCAAGCAGGACCTGAGCTCCTGACCACCATTCGAAACTTCACCCCCAAAAGCCGGAAGGCCAGCTGGTAGACATCCTGCAGAAGTGGATTTACATGTTGAAGTCTACGACAGGAACAGCTACAAGTAGCACGGATCAAGCTTGGCAAACTTGCGAATGCCATCGCCGGGCCGGTGACAGGTCTTATCCCAGCCTTGTCGCCATAGCCGCACATCAATTGGCCTTGCTCCCCATAGATGGCCTTGTACAGTACTGCGAACTCGAGCCCAACTTCAGGGGCTTCTACCGAAGACAACGAGGAGCCTCCACAAAGATGTCCAGGCGCACAGCCAGCAGCGTCGCTAGCAGCAAGGCCTCCTGGACCTGTCGGCTGAGAGAGACTGGTCGAGAAGTAAGACATGCCTACCACGGGAGGTGGTGCTCATTTTTGGCGCAAACGCTACCATGTAGATCTTCCTGATGTCATCTGGCCCATCTCTCTCTGCCTGCCTGCCTGCCTGCCTGCCTGCCCGCCTGCTGCCCGTCAGTATATCTATCTGTCCATCTGCCTATCTGGCTATCTGTCAATCTGTCTGTCTGTGTATCTATTTGTCGTACACAAGTAGTTTAACATGTCACACATCACGCATAACACAGAATGCGAGACAGCTCACAATATAACATACATGTTGTATAGTCTGTAAGTACTATATAGCGAAACAAAATAGCAGTACTAGGATATAACGTAAATGTACAGATATAAGCTAGCATATAATAGGTACTACAAAGCATATCAAAGAATGTGCACGATAAACATACCACACCACCAATGTTGCAAAATGAGAAGTATAATACAACACAATAATGTGCTATAGTGCAATATGGCGCAATATACCACTATACGAGATGATGTAATTTAACAGTTTAACATAAAGCCAAAAGTCACAATAACAAGATATGAAGACTGAAATCTGACATACTACGGTCTAGCTTGTAAGATGTAAGATGATACCATGCGAAACCATCAGGTATAACACAACATAATAAGTATAATACAACATATATAATATATGTATATACAAACATATTATAACCTAGTCAAACACGGCATGATAATGCGGCATATATCAGAAAAAGAATCACATACGAAAGTTAAAACACAACATAAAGTATTGTTGTACCATGTAAGAAAGAAACATAACAAACTAGTATACACCACGGTCGTGAAATCTTCAAACCGAACATGACACACAATGTAACATGTCATACTGAATGTGCAACATACTGCCGTAGAATACCATATGACCCTTAATTTCCTTAATCGCATAGTAAACTGTGATGTAGCATAGCAAGGTATACGAAACATGAACAATGCTTTCTATAGTCATATACACTACAATACAATACAACACAATGCAGGACTGTGCAATGCAGCAATATAATACAGTACTACGCTACAAACAACATAATGAATAGTAGGACATTGTGTGATCGTTTAGCATAGTCTAGAACAGTATACGTAGTATATGCCACCATACTGTTGCGTGATGTTTTTACTTACTCCGCCATTGTGTCATATGGTCGTATATTGCTGTGGAATGTGCTACATTGTCTTCTGTCGAGATATATCGCACTGTGCTGTGTTGTGTACCGCTTCGTACTGAAATATCTTGCATTGTCTAATTTGGTATCATGTTGTACTTTGATGTGTCATTTTCTGTAGATTCCTCACCTTATATGCGATTATGTTGCATTGCATTGCTGTCTTGCATGACAGTTATTTTGTAGATAACATGTGTATGACAAAATGTTCATGCCAAAGTTGTGCAGGTCTACCCTGCTCCCGACCTCCGGCCGTCTCCAACAAACAACACTCACACACTCCACAGTGACATGCAAAGTAGCTAATGTAGGGGCCTAATTACCTATACTATTTTGGGGGCTCCCTATTATAATCATAGTATAAGGGGCCCCAAAACCATATTCTACCTATTCAGGCCCCTATATTACAGCAGAGAGCCTCGGCTGTCTTCCTCAGCATCAGCTGGCCACTCTCCTCCAGGCTTCGATCATGCACAGAGCGCGGTGCTCCAAAAAAAAAGTAACAAACAACCTGGCCCACAAGGAACAACAGCATTCTTCAACGATTTCTAACCTGTCACAGTATTCGCCATATCTGCGCCCAGCACGAATCCTGAGACTTTGTCGTGGAGAAGGACGACCACAACCCCGTCCTGGGAGACAAGACTCACTGGAAAGCCGGGTTCTTTGCAAAGAATATAATATAGACTGCTCTCGCATTCTGCCTGCTGCAGCGACTGTGTGCACCAAGCTTGGAGTCCTTGGGGCAGGCCAAAAGTCCGGCCAGAACAATGCCTCGAGCATGGGCGGCCGGTGCCAGTAAAGCAACGCTGTTGAATGTGCGATTGTTTCTATACGCGGCCGCACCTAATGAAAACTAAGCAATGCGCATCCGTCAAACAGTCAACAACAACTGGTGTCTCGCCACGGTCAGTTGTTGAAACGTATATACCGCTCTCTGAAATCAGACGAAGCTGCCGGGAACTCATCCAAGGTCCGAATGAGCTCCTCATGGACTTCTTCGGCGTCTTCGGCGGGCATGCCCATAACGAACCAGAAGGTCTGAAGTGGCACTAGCCGCCCATTGTGTGACATGCATGGGGCTTTCAGACTTCAGTCCCGGCAACGCTTGCATACGTATTGTGTAGAATGCTTACAAATGTACATGCGTACATGCAAGCTTACTTAACCACCCACATACATACTTGCCTGGACTTGCCTACATAGTGACCTACCTACCTGCCTACCTGACTTGTAGGTACGTAGCATGCATGCATGCGCAAGGTATGTTTTAAGTCTCAAATGGCCGCATGGTGTAACACAACCCGTCTGCCCACCAGTCCGTTGCATTGTCGCTCTGTTTGGTGATACGCTATGGCCTGTACTTCTGGATGTCGTTGTATGTGCGAAATGCGTCCTAATCTGTAAGTCGAACTCAGGTCAAACTGGTCACCAACGTGTATAACTGCAGTGAACGCAGGCGACTGTAGATCGTGCAAAAGTGGAGATTGCAGGAAACAAGTAATTGCACGGGACCATATGAAGTCAGAAAAAGCGCACAGACAGTATGAATACAGAACCAGAAACAGCTCTCCGAATCTCTCGATGATCTGAGATTTAGCAGTGCGTCATCACAGCATGAAGAATCAGCCGGCTCCTGTGGCGACCGCAGGGGAACGTTGTCGGCATCCAGAAAGAAACAAGGGTCCTCACAAATGGCGTGGCTCAACTCCCCACTTGTGCGGAATGGTTTAACTGCATAGGATTTGGTGCACTTCCTGAGCAAAGGCTTTGACTTCAAGTCGTCTCTAGTCTCTAAGAAGCTCAGCAAGGGCACGGGCACAATCGCTCACGGCGAGCACGACGGGCTTCAGCGAGTAAGCCTTCAGCCTGCCGGAACCATTCGCAGGAAGTCCACTCTACCAATCCGCGATGCTCTCACGCGGTCAGCAGACCGGCATGGCTTTGCACATGAGTATGTCACTTGTGCGCGTGAAACATGAAGGTTGTCTTTAGAACTTTGTTGCCCAAACATAGTGTTACTCACTAATTACGGGGTTCTCACGTCGGGAGCAGTAGGGAAGTCCTCCTCTTGAATCTCGTCGGTACTTGGGCAAAGCATTGCGGCCGTGCTCCTGCACCCGGCCAGTGCTTGGGGAAAGCAGTTTGGCCGCATGTCCTGGTGGTATCCTGAGGTTCTTGGGGTGGTTTGCTGGACGTCGTGGTGGACCTGGTGTCGTGGTCGCCTTGGTCGGTGGTCGTGGTCGTCTTGGTCTCTATGGTCGTCGTGGTGCTCCATCACGGTTGGGGGATCCGCACTGGCATGATACACAGGTAGATGCTTCGACACACGCGCATCCATAAATCCGCTAGTCCACCAAGGTAAAATGTGTGAATGCGGACAGTGCGCACAAAGCAGCGCAGACCCACATACACCCACGACGGATGAGAGCCGATACAGTATCCGGAGCCGTCGGGAAAATCCAACAACAGCGGTCAAGTGCTCTAGCTGTTTGCGGATGGCTCAAATGGGTGCACAAGCGAGGAAGAGCACACTCCACAAATCCCACCTCGAAACAGCCTCAGGATTTTGCCGATAGTGAAGGGCAAATCGTGCCTGCCACCTGCATTGCTGTAGCCACCGACTGAGGTGCAAGGGCAGTACGGAGCACTGCATGTATGTATTGTCTCGCCCCCCAGATATTGAAGCAAACGTAGGCCAAACTGAACCAGTGGTCTGTCGCGGACCTCCAAAAGGGATGGTCTTCTGGGAAGTCGCCCTGCAAACTGAACATCCATGGGTGGCTCCAGACACTGGATACAGTAGATCGGCAAGCAAAACTGGAATTCTCTTGGCTCTGCCACTCAAGCACGACCAATCAGCATGTGTTTTCAACTTCCAGAAAACAACATGATGCCAGCGTCCAGCTGCTAGGCCGAAAACAACATCCGAAGCAAGCCTCGAAGGTGGATATTTTGCAATGCCCAACGAAACCGCCCGAGTTCCTCTGGAAGTCACTTTGCGACACGTAGTTAGTTCAAGGCTACAGTATGAGCCTAGCTGAGTCTACTTCTGATTTCCAAAACAGGTCCGCACTGAGTATCAGCCGTAGGTTGCTCCATACGTGACCCTGGTTCAAGCAACGACCCGTCAAGACCTTGGCCAGCCCGACCATCACAACCGCGCCTCCCCTAGAGTCTACTAACACAAAACCCTCATGCTCCAACAGAGGCACCTGTGGGGAAGGCACAGCCCGCAAAGCAGCTCCCAGCGCTTTGAGGCGCTGGGAGGCATCATCATCCAGGATCGAGGCATCGGCTGCCTCCATCTTACCACCCACTGCTTCGGACTACCGAAGACTGTGCTACTATCTTGGTCTTGGGCGGGTTATAACATGTACAAACTCAGATACGTGTTGTGTGCCTACGTACATGCATACACATATTAAACTTACTGACATACATACACAGCAAGAGTATCCATGTAGAGAGATAGATTGACAGATGATGTACATGTAGTCTGCTGGGCTAAGCTGCTGGCTACGGATGCTGATGACACGAGCGCCCAATGACCGCGCTGCCTGCTTGGATGTGCCCAGTGCTATCGCTTCTGGGCCATGCCACTACTTGTTGTTGTCGCGGTCCTGCTCCTTCTCCACCATCACAGGGCTGACAAGGTTGTTCGTGGATGGCAATGAGATTTGAGACATGTTAGAGCATGTTAGGCTTGGAAACCTCATGGGACACTGCGCACACTCTTGAAGGCCTCGATCCAGAACTCGGCGGGCCAATGAAGATTATGGACCTGGCAGCTGACAGCTTCTACCTGCGCAACATCACCTTTTCTACGGAACGGCAGATGCAAAGAAGGTACCAGTAGTCTGCAACTCTGAGACCCACGAAGCTCCGGCTCGAAAGCCTGCCTCGCGGATGATCTGCAGAATCTGCACCACGCTGTTTAGATGCACTGACCTCGTGCTGAAGTTACAAGCCGGGAACGATGGTGCAACATCAAGTGGATTTATGAAGACTTAATTTCCAACGGGTTATGAGAGATGGGGGTGGCAGGCAGAGTCTCGATGTCAAATTCGTCAGTCCACGCCCTGGTCTACCTGGTGTGCGTTTTTGTTCCTCCTCTTCCTCCTCCTCCTCCTCCTCCTCCTCCTATGCCTCCCCCTTCTGCACCATGATCATGGTCGCCGTCTCCAACCGCGCAGCAAACCGTCGTGATCGTGGCACTTGTCCCTTCATGGAACGGCCTCGGATAGCTGGGTGATCTTTTCGACGGCTCGTGGACTAGAGCAGTGTTCCAGCTGCCCAACAGACATCGCGAGCTCAGATTGTCTTCAGAAGCCATGGACCGGCACCCCGAGGCATGAGATACTTTTTTTCATTGGTCTTGGCGTGGAAACACGAGGCTTGAACCTGCGCACCATCATGCTAATCTGTTGCTTGCAGATGTCCCTTTGAGCAGCACTTCTCGGCCAGTTTGGGGCGCAAGCCACCTGGGTCCCGAAAGCGCGTCATCGTTGTTGCCAGCAGTTGCATCGTCCGATCGGCCCTATCGTTTCTCGTGAGCGCGAAATCATCTGTACCTCTGACCGTCCCGTCAACTCCTTGCTGCCATTCGCTGCCTTTGGGCCGCGTTTGGGCCACATTCAGAACAGGGACGCCTCAACAGTCGGCAAACACAGCAGCCGAATGCTGCACTTCCCGTGCACAAGCCCTAAACGAGCCTTAGACCGTAAAACCTACAAGACAGAGAAGCACACAGCTTCGCCGGGAAGCTGGCGGGCGGCCCAGGAAAAGCACCATGGCTTTTTCTGTTCCCACTGGAATGGACGCCTCCGGAAAGTCTTAACACGCTGAGTTTAAGACCAACTACTTACACCCCCATTGAGTCAACTGACACTACTTTGGTGCAACAACTCCGCAAAGCAAGACCAGTCGGACTGGAAACTGCTACAAGTCTCAGCACTATACTCTTGATTCTCGATACTGCTACAAAAAAGTAGACAGCATGGTGACCATCACTATGCGCAAGCACTTGGCAGTATGCAGGATGTTGCTGTATGACGGTATTACAGTATTACAGACTGCGGTCCTCGAATTCGGCTTGTCAACAACCATCCTCAGATAAATCAGGGGGGCCCGGGCACGAAAGCTAGTGGGACTAGGGTTTCGGGCTACGGTGCGAGGCCGCTTTTGTTTGGTGCAGTCGGGCAGCGCGGGCAAACGAAGAAAGCAAAGAATCCCTTGTTAGGGTTTTGTTAGCCGATTAGAGTCTTTCTCACCGACAACTCCCGCAAGCTCCTGAGAGCGTGCTGTCGTGACTGCGTGCACTTAAATGTATTTGATTATGCCTTGCACTCCATACACATGATCGATTCGTATATCGCTGTTGTCATCGTCAATAACCCTGGAATTCTCGTGATTTCCTGACACTCAGGGTCATGCGAAGTGCTGTCTATCTGTGCTTCTACTACTTCTGATCCTCAAGGTTGATGAACACGAAGAGCGGGCAAGCGAGGAAGTGCATGAACCAACATGACCAAACAAGATGATTGTGATGCTGCTGAAGGTCATTGTGATGGCAACTGTCATCGGGAATATCAAACCATCACCATGACTCATCACCATAAACATTGCTACTGCTGTCGGAGTTCAACGCACGTCCTAGATCCGAGTACTCTCGCCTTGCTTGCAAGTGCAAGGCAAATGGCAAATGTACAACTTCTCAGAAAGCTGCATGACTGTCGGCGGCCTGAATCCTGTCCGCCGCACCTGGATGCTGCAGAAACTGCCTGGCAGTTGAGAGAGCACAAGAAGTGGCCGCCAGTTTCAAAGGACCCGAGGCCTCCAGCCGTCCACCGTGCTAACTGACCCCCAGGCTTCCTGGAGCTTGCGGTAGCCTTCCACCACGCGAACTAAGAGAACAGGCTGAATCGAAGAGCTGGACTTCTAGGTCTGCCTGTGAGCCACTCGAAAGAGGGCTGCTGAAAGGCTTTCCGGATCAAGCCTGGCAGCAGCTGGGGAAATTCTTATTTGGCAATGGAAAGCGACATGTCCAACCTTTCCCCTGCGCGATTTGCAGAAATCAGGGTTTGCGCTGTAGACTCTGCACCACGCCACGGCCGAGAGCCGACTCCGTCTCACCATGACTTCAAGTATCGCAGGGGCGTGCACCTGCATGATGCTCACTGCATCTCTGCCTGCTGTCCTGGCAATTGCACAATCGCAACAAAAGTGTAAAGCCGTACTGCGCTTGAACCTGCGTGGCTATCTGCATGTAAGATCGTGGACTTCGTTTGACGATGTCTCGTGCAATTCTTGCACGTCCGCCAGGCCCTAACACCTTGAAGAACCTTCTGAAAACCCAAAACAAACAAGGACAAGGACAAGGACAAGGACAATGACAACGATCACGATGACACGGGTCCGCATGATCGGCACGCCGCATGGCATCAGCGGCTCCTTTGAAATCGCCAAGACCTGTAGGGTTTGTCAGGGTGTAAGGTCTCGGCGAGTATATATATATATATATGTATGTATATATATATATATATAGTGTAAGGGTTTGGGCAAAAAGCCTGGCTAGGGTCTGAGGGGCAGCCCATTTTGCTTCAAGAGCTCTTCAAGCGTGGCAAGCCAACGCCTCGGGAAATAGCAGGCAAAGGCCTGCGAGACATGGCTATCATGCATGTGCATAGTGTGAAAGCCGGCCATAGCCTCACTCCGTTTTGGAGCCGAATTTCAAATGCCGCTGATTGGGATCGCGCTTGGCCGGCGGCTCAGGGATGTTCAAAGCCACAACGATCAAGGCTGCATTGTCAGCTTTCGACACTTTAGCTGCAGCTTGCAGCATTGCCTGTGCTGCCGCTTCCGGTGACCTCGTTTCTCGGAGTATTTTGCGAGCGGTAGTCAAAGCTGTTTGTTCTCGGAGGGCATCCCATATGCCGTCGGTGGCAAGAATCACGAACTCAGTAGTATCCTTTACCTAGACGATGCTGATTTCAGGCCTGCAAATCAATCCACTGATTTTGGGGCCACTCTTCGTCACGTCTCCGAAAGCCCTGCATACATGCACTTGGCCATCTGCATAGCCTCCATCGATATTGACTCCGAGATTCAGGAGCCGTTGCTTCTCTTCCTTGGAAGAGAAGCAACGGCTAGTGAATCTCGGAGTCAACATTGACGGAGGCTATGGTTCTTGTCGGGCGAATGGTCGACAGTCTTGTCTGCTACCTTCGCTGCTTCGCACACCACAGCTCTGCAGTCTCCAAGATTGAGCAAGATGAGCTCCTTGTCTTGCAGAAGTGCCGCGCATGCGACCGTCCCGGAGGACGTCCCTGTCGAAAAGACCCTGGCCTCGTTGGCCAATTCTTTCTGCAT